GGATAAAAATATATATGCCTTATCAGTAGCACGGGTAAAGTCACATTGTATCTAAGAGCTTGTTAGCCAATCCTAGATAATAACGTTTGTATGGTAAACATATATACGTGGAATATCAAGGGATGAAGGTGTGATTTTCTAATCTACGATCTTATACTAGAATTTATAGACAGGAAAGATAGATCTTAGTGAATTGGAAATGAATCAGCGAGTTGAATCGCAATATGATCTATTTCTCATGATCTGATTGGTCGAATCAGAATTCCAGAGAGTTCCGTAGTGTAAGCGCTCTTTCGGCGTACTACGATCTATCGACGGTACGCCTGCGGAGTGCAGTAGGCCAACGGGCTTCAGGAATGCAGTACTCGGGAGCTCAAGGCTGTTCAGGATTGTATGGCAGTTATCCTATATAGTATAACAGAACGAATCGCTTGAGGACCGGAATCCTCTGCGCGATCTGACCTAGATACATTTGTGCGTTACGTAAGCCGGCGGCCTGCCGGCGGCTCGCTTGCGGTGCGTATAGCTGCCTGAGGCAGCCGCCGTTACAGTCGTCCTTTCCGTCATTGTGGGTTGATGAGATGATTGAGCCAGAGAGTTTTCTCCATCCTCAAGAATCTCTCCGAAATATGATCTGGACGAACTAATCACGGTGCTACGCCAATTGTCTCCACGATTTTCGGTGCGTGTATCTTGGTAAGATGTTGGAGTCACTAAAACTCGTCCCTTATGCTGCGTCTCGATTTGGTTTTGTGAACACCAAGTGCAATATAAGTGATTTGGACTCCCTATATCTGATTAGGGGTCCCCACCTTATATCTGTATCTAAGACAACCCTACACATTTTAGGAAATAATACTTGAAACTGAGACTACACAAAAGATGCCCAATAGCCATCCGTCCATCCATCCTTCCATCCATCCAGCCACCTTGAAGCTCTTAAATGTACACTTTATCTGGTCCCCGTCTTATAGGATTTATAATTTCTACTGCGAAGCTCGGCATAAACACAAAAATCTTGATAACTTCCTAAAAAGTGAATATTAAGTTCCCCTCTAGCAATATGCTAGATCTACTAACTATTTATCAATATTCTTTTCTAGCCAAAGCATTCTCTTAATTCTCTATCCTAGCGCATTATTACGGGGTCAGATTAGAAAAGCTATTTCAGGTAAATAAAAAGAAAGAATTCAATTCTAAATCAACAAACAAATTCTAAAAAAGCCAACAGCCAAGAATTTCTAGTAATTATTTACTAGACTGCTAACCTACGATTCGCAAGGTCTATTAAAACCTTGAACAAATTTACTACAAATTATAAACTAAATTTATACTTTATCATTCTAGAGCATTATTTAACAGTCTCAAAAGATCATCTAGAATATAATATAACCCAAGACCATTACTAAAACCCTATAGTAATGTAAATAAAACCAATCTTAAATATCTTACTACTTACCCAGGTGCGCGCGACTACAGTCGTCTAATTCTACGTTGTATTCCTAATAACTATCTTAATCCAGGTCCATCTACTGCAGTCCGCATCGATATATATAAAAGCGAGGAAACAAGACAGTATTCTTTTAAAATGCCCCTCAGAGAAGTCCAGTCAAAATTCCTAGTCTAGACACCTATAATCAGTCATAGTATTTGGAAAATAATAAATATCTTTGCGTTTATCACTAAACGCTAATCACTCTACTTCGAGCTCATACACAACTGAGTCTCTCCATATACAGAAATCCAGGTCGAAGCTTTCTATACTCACACTACTTACTTGAACCTTCATACAGTGGTTTTTAGACCTATATAAGTCAACATATGTCAGCCAGCAGACAACTGTAGGGACACTTTTGTATACTCTATAAAAAGAAACATATCGGTGGATTCGAAATTAACCAAAGCCGCTTAATTCCATATTTCTTCCAAAGGTATTCTCATAGCCGCTTTGGAAATCCAAGTCTATTAAAAATATTTCAAACCAGAAGCCGCCAATCCGATAATTCGCTAAGTCCGACCAATGTTCAAGAACTAGTTTAAAACTTCTTAGTATAACCCGGGCAACGCTAACATGCACCCGAAGATTTACAGTTTTACCAAAATCCAAAGCTTTCAATCCAATAAGTACTATTGGTGGTACTTCGTAAGAGATTGCGAACTTGATATCGTTTAAATCTAGATTATCCCATAAAGACTTCCAGCGGTCGGCTGGAAGATACCTGTTGCGTATATTTAAAGGGCCCGCTTTAATAGTAGAAGTTCTTCTAAAAGAAACAATCCTATTCGCAATCTCAAGAATAGATTACCATACTGGTCTATATTTTTCGGGCTAATCCGGATCGAATTTGCACATTGTTATGTGGTTGGAATCTGCTACAGCAATGGGAATCTCATTCCCCAGCCTAGCTGCATCCATCCTTACTACCTACGGCGAAGGTCAGTGGACATTCTGTAGAAAAGATACTAGAATATCATACCCAATAGCCGCTTGTTGTTTCAGTCTCAAAGAAAGTCCGGATCTCGAACGAAGGGATTTGAGACCTAAACCGCTCAGATATATCCGCCAAGTCGCTTGAACCGGCCCTTAGAGCGTAGATATAATTCCAGTTGCTGATGAAGCCAAGGAACGTATATTGCAACAGACGGTCATAATAGGTTGCGAGAGTTGCTCCATGATGAGGCACACCAAAGAAAGCTAGGGCCTTCATACGTCGACGTAAGTCAGCATAGTTGTTTTGTTCGTTAGCATTAAGGATTGCCTTCAAAAAGTAAGTTTCGAGTACGAAATAGACGATAGAAAGCAGAGAATTATCTAACTTTCTCCACAATGATACCACCAAGGCTATGAGCAACGAATAAGATTGGTCTTTCGAAGAGTGGCCTCTCAAGCGAGTTTTGTTCCCCGTTTAACCTGACGAGTAAATCATTGGCAGTGATGTTAATATTGACCACTGACGTGCTAAAGACAGTGTCTGCATTGTATCCGTAGGACATCACTCTCGCGTTTACTCCACTATCACTGAGCCGCCGGGGTAGATCATTTTGTAGCCAGAGATTTCCCCTACTGCTCTTCCAGGTATCCCTCCAATGTCCATGGAGTCCATGGACAGCCACGATACTAACAGACTCAGAAATAAATTAATAATACTTATTTTAGGTTGAACATACTCAACTGCAACATCCACATTTGGAGGCGGATCATGCAGAGTAAATAGACCTGTTCTTTGCATCCTGTTTTACGGCTAAGACCAGTGCGCTTTTTGAAATTTTGAGCACGGAAGTATAATTGATGTGGGAGTGTGACGCGAAGAATAATGCACTAGAAAGCTGAAGAGTTGCCTGGGTGTTGCTCCTAGTCACTGATAATCGCTGGGATTTATATGTGTACAAACAACATAATGTGATAGATCATATATGCTGGGTGGCATGACTATTAAAGGCCCCAGGTTGCCACTATCACAAGCCCGTCGTGACCAGAACACGCCTTATTAACCGATTCTTGAATTCCGCGCTCAGTGGTCTTTCTGTCGGATGACTGTTCTAGCAATGGCATCATTGAAATCAGACACGACCAATCCCTGGTACGGAACAGCCAGTCACCTCGTAGCTGTAGTAAAAGCCGCCACAATCTGCTGTCCATTTTCCTTTGGACGGTATGGCATAGATGTAGCTCGGTCTCATTCTAGAATCATCAGGTTTAACAATACATATCAAGAATAAGCTTAAAACGTATACGAGCCATGGAAGTATTATCTACCTAAAACGGAAGGCTGCCTAACGCAAACTACCTATTGTATTTCTTTAGGGTTATTTTAATACTTTTCCTTGGCGGAGTAACCATTCGTTCTGGTCCAAATCACCTGATTCTGAACTCCTGATTCGAATCGGTTGGTAATTACGTCGTCATGGATACACCATATCTCAATTGATTTGATACAATTATGATAATTGTTATTATGGCAGGGTGACCTATTTCTGCAAGTAGGTTTGTTTTAAAAGCTTAGACCTTAGGACAACAGACGCTTGACACTCAGCATAACTGTTCCAAAGATTTGACCCCCCGGGCCACCCCCGCTATTATGGCAGGGTGACCCGTTTCCGAAAGCAGGGTTGGTGTAAAAGACTTTCGGACAACAGACGCTGACAATCATCATTACGATTCCATAGATTTGACTAACTCCCCAACCCCAGTATGCTTGCCACTTTGACCTCCAGATATCATACATCCATCTCCCTTAACAAACAAAATCTACTACGTACTGCCGTCCCTACTGACGATATTTCCTTGCTGGACCGAACCTCTTAATGCTCGTCAGCTTTTACGCGGAAAGTTAGCTTATGATGGTCAGTTCACCTCCTTATCATATATTTTTACTGTAAGGAGGCTTGTGATGGCTTAGTATCCTCTATACAGGCTGCATCAACTGTCTACATGATTAGGCATGCCGAAAAGCCAGATGATGGCTCTCCTCATCTCTCTAGTCGGGGACTAGCAAGAGCACAGCACCTCCGTCACTTCTTCGGAAGGGACAGCGGGTTTGATATTGGCTATATCATCGCCGAGCATCCTGAGCAAGGTTCGAGCACTCACATTTGGTTCGATTTTCAGGCAGTATCCACCTACTGCGGAGCCTCGCCTCATCCTGGATTGTACATCAAGCTAATAAGTTTGTATCTAGATTCTAGGTTACACGCCTACGAAACTGTCAAACCTCTGGCTGATGATTTGGGTGTCACTGTGACATTCAACACTAGTATCGACAGAGACGACGCTGCAGGTGTTGCGAGTGTTGTGAATGAGTATAAAGGAGCCGGCAATGGCAACATCCTTATCTGTTGGGAGCATCATAACCTGTCTGATATCGCAAAGGCTCTTGGCATAAAAGGATTTGCAGAGGGTAGTGGCGGGTCTGGCGAGGTCAAATACCCAGGCTCACATTTTGATCTTGTTTGGGTTGTACCGGCCCCTTATGATGAGGTTACCCGTGTACTTAGTCAGGATACCCTGGGTTAGGTGCTTTCACTAGTAATCCATAAGGCAAAGAGCATTTGTATTCTCCTAAGAATTCTCATGGGTAATCAGCTACTTAACATAATTGGAGTAAAGATAAGCTGCAATCAACTTTTCTTTTCAAAAGTAGAAAAAGCTATTTAAAGCAAGAACATTTATTTTACCTTTACAACCTTTGTCTGCCTCTCTATCCCTCCCTCTGTCTTTCTCTTTTTCCCTTCTTCCCTTCGTTCGGGAATAGAAACTCGTCGGATGACTCAGGCACAGGTTTTACATGTGGTGCCTAGTTCTGCAGACTTGATGTAACCGGGATCCAGCGCTAGAAGTATCTTCCTAGCCTCCCACCCTGTGCAGCAAGGTAGCCCATTGAAGATGTCCTCTGAGCTGCCAAAGTGTTTATCCATGTAGCCAAGCGGACCCCTGCCTTATAGATCTGTTCATTCACAATAGGGGCAGCACCATCGTAATATTCGCCACCAAGGTCATTTTCTTCAACCCAGTCGATGCCATTTTTCAAGACATAATCACAGTTTAGTCTGTTTGTCTCCTTTGCCCACAGCATAGCACATTCCAAAGGGTTCTGAATGTCTGAACACTCCGCATAATAAGGCCTGAACCTATTTGCCTGAAAGAGACTTGCTGCCCACCGTTCAGCCGGCTCTTTTTCCTCATTATGTTTTCGGTTATGTTTGATGCCGTTCATTTTATGAGGAATGTCTGTGTCCCAGATGGCGTGGAGGTTCTCTTTAGAACAATAATGGTCAAAGCATACATGGATCTTATTTCCGCCTTGCTCCAGAGCTTCCACATGCAATGGCTGATGTATGTCACCCAGAAAATGAATGAGAAACTTGAGGGCATCAGCTTGATCATCCTTGGCTAGGTTTTGATCGCTAAGCTGATTTGTCTGTGGCCCAGTTAGTAGACCCGGATTAAGCAGCGGTCGGGGCTGTCAGGGTCGATATTCACCATATTTTGAATAGCGGATACTATACATCCTCTGCGACCACAATCTGACGTGAAAGAAACCCGACAGCTTCCGGGTGGATTGTCCTCAGCATCTATGACGGTTAGTTTTCGGTATTGGAATGGGAGTAGTTACTGAAATCTACCAAGGAAATGCCAGGGTTGGGTGGCTTTCATGGTTGTGTATTTTACTTTGTCAGCCCAAACTGCTGCATCTGAGATATCCTGCCCATTATTGCCGGGCAGGAGATCGTCTACGAGCTGCTTCGCCTCATTGCTAAAGTATTTCTGGGCAAGATATGCAACAGTACGGTGACCGAGATCTCCCCAGCAAGCAGCTGGCTGGAGAGAGTAAATAAAGATTAGGAATGGAAGTAAAAGGTTCATTATGAGTATATTGGGATCAAGCTATAATTTAATAACCCTATATTTGAAGGGAGATCTCGGGAAACTCGAAATGGGATGAAGGAAATGTGATGGACTGGAACGAAAGAAATGCGGTACTATTATTTATACCCTGGATACATACCCAAAAATCATCCTCTCAATTTCAGTCAAACCAGCCGTTTGCAGAAAAACCGTGCTGTGAAGTTTGGCTGCTAATACTCTAATAACTAGTCTATAGAGGCCTTATGGTTAAATTGCATGGTCTGCAACAATGGCTTGAACTGTCTATGGACGTAATCTAAACTTAAATTAAGGTATATCTGACATCTCCTCTGGGTTGATGGTTACACTAAAGATGAGTCTGGGCTTCAGCAAAGTGTTGCTAAATGAGATGACATGAACCCAATGAGTGGCCTGACTGCTCCAAAAGTGTCTTACGTCAACCCAAGTACCTCCAAAAAGATACCTACTAGCTCTGACCTCATGGAACTTCTTCTTTGTCGCTAGTTAACCGTAAGCAATATGATTCCAGATTGTGGTAAATCAGACCATTAAGACTACCTGGACGATTTATGTGGGAGAACCAGGGTGGCTAGCATTGGGGGTAGTGCACCTGGAACAATGCATGGGTGAGGCTAGTCCTAATGGATATATAGGGGTTGCTTGGATGCCCTATAGGGCGTGTGATCTAGTACTAGGAAGATCAGGTGCAGCAAGATGAGATGAAGTGAGTGATCCTTGAATCATCCAGGTATGACGTCGGGGGAGCAGGTGCGGATTATCCTGTGGACCATACACCTTCCGTTTTCAGATAAAATACAATTACAAATAAGAAATGGCATCAGTTCTGATTTAGAGCTGGAAATGCTAATCACAGTCAAATATGCGCGGTTTTATCATCACATTACATTTAGATGATAATTATTTCTGCGTTCTAGACTGACCATAAGCTTAGTTTAAGTCAACCTTAACAGAATGACGACATTTGTGGCGAGTTCTGTTTAATAATTACCACAGCCCGAAATAAGTAATAGAGTTCTGCACTAAATTCCCCATGGAAGTATATATTCTAGATTTAGCCTCAAATTCTATCGGCATTAGGCGCCACTGGGTGGACTTTTAACCATGGCTACATCCCCAACCCAGCAGAGGCAGAAACAGAAGATGAACTATAAGTTTATAGTACATACATAGTAATTGCTGCAAGCAGCTAGCTGTGATAAACTTACCCTTCTCGGCCTGGCCGGATAGGCCGCCAAAAGAAGAGTGAAGGGAAGAGAATCACTCCACTCCTATGTACATGATTACGACAGGTTTTACCGTTCCACATCTATTGCCTAGGGGGCAAACTGCCCAAATGACTCTTTCTAGGCGACTATATACAATGGAATATGAGGGAATAATAATATTATCAATGCATGCAGGTGAACCACTCCTGTCTAACAGGGCCTTAACTAGGTTATGCTACGTTATAATGGTTGCATCTATACGTTGTGGCAAGTGTAGAATAGGTCTCATGATCTACAGTAGCTCAGTCCTACATCTACTCAACCAGATCCTCTCTTTATATATTTAAGGAGAAGCCGTTACTGCTATATATGGAATGCAGATATCACACAGAATTTCCTAAGCAAAGCTGCTAAGATCACTCTATCCTTTTCAATATGAGCTCTGCCGACTCTGGTTTGCCTGCCAACAGGGAGCGCACTCACCAGCCACAGCCACAGGTGGTACCAGGCGAAGACGCAGTCCTTAGTCCGGACGATGTTCGATGCTTGCTAGGAACCAATGGCAGAAGCACCACACCCCGAAGTGTATGGGACTCCTTGTTCCCATGGCGGATGCAAAGAGACTATCGCGAACAGCAAGATTCCATGGCCTTATACCCAAAGATCCTCAGGGAGGAAAAGTCGACATGGCGACAACTATACGCATTCGATGTGCTAGTATATGCATGCCTGGTTCTACAGCTAGTAATTGCCTCAACTCTGGTCATTCTCTCTGCAGTCAGCGGAGACCATCATATTGTTGTTGCAGTCCTAGGCGCTATTACTGCACTTATCACCGGTGTGCTGTCCTTGGTCAAGGGTCTGGGGCAGCCTATGCGATTACTTAACTATGCTGATAGCCTCGAGAAAGTCCGGGATGATATTGAATTCTGTGAGAGGGAACTGCAAACAAGTTCCCCAGTAGTGACCTACAAGCGGGTTTTAGATATCTGGAATAAGTACATTTCTGCGAGGAATAGCAAGATGAAAAACCGTCCAGATGTATGGGCTTCTCAGGAGAGGGATACCAGGACTTCATGACTCAAAATGGCGATCCAGAACAGGCCTTTTGTTTTGGTAAAATAAAATGAAACTGTGTTATATGGCTTTTGGAAAAAACCTGCAAAATTCTTCTAGAGACAGTTTTAATGCTGAATGTATTGCTAGCTTCTATAGTGATCTTTTGAAGTGACATTGCTTGCTCGGGATCATATGAAACCTACCTTAGTATCTAGCATCCTGCACACGCTACCGATCAGGAGATAGTCATAATTTGGAACTCATGGACTCATACTGGAAACACTGATGGACTTGCTTTATCTTTAAGGATTTGGCTTAACCATGGCTGTGTATTTAGGTGAATTTTCTAAGAGTAATTAGATGCGGGATTCGGGGCTGGGGTTTTGACCTTCCTTAGGTGTTCAGGACTGCTTTAGAGAGGCTCAAAATGTTGACGATCAGATTAACACCACACTAATCCAGCAGTTCTGAATGATTTATCGAAAGCATTCCGCCTCCTTGATATCTGCGCTTATCTAGGACATAATGGATTGTAAAATATTCTCTCATGCAGGCGGGAAGCTATCAAGGATACTCCTGATGATATTTATAGCTTTATTCTAACTTATTTCAGTCCAGAGGTTGGTGATGCTTCCGTAGAAAAGCAGAAAAAAATAAACAAAACCAACCTGAGGACTCCAACCTAGTCAAAAGGTTGGACCCTACCACTGCGCTGACTAGTGATATACCTCTCTAAGCTAAACCCTTACTCAAACTAAATACGGTCCTCCATCCCCGTGGGTTAGGCCTGCTGACACGGTTGAGATATAGAGGTAAAAAGGCCTATCATTTTGTATCCAAATTATATAGAATAAACCAACCATTCATTAGTAAACCATGTTAGCGCCTTCTGAAGTCGATTACTCCTGTATTGAAAATAGGTTTAGCCCTCATGCTTTGTTTAGCTTAACTGAGATCTCTATGCAGGTCGTGCCAAATGGTCTGGGCGATATCAGCGATAAGCTGATCCGCCTGCTCAGGCCGGAATTTGAAGTCGACTGAGAAGCCATGCCTGATGACTGTGGCGCTGACGTAGGCTTTCAGAGCTGACAGGTGGTCGCCGCCTGTAGCCGGCGTGCCACTACTGGTGCCAGTAGGAGCAGTGCCGGCAGGAGTAGACCCTGCAGAGGCTGGGGTGGTGCCACAGTAGACATAACCTTAGCAGGCGTGGCCAGCGCCTTCTGACCTAGCTGCCTTCCCAGCAACGAGCTTCTCGACGTCCGAGTCCACACCGTTCTCGACGCCCAACACCAGCGCCCGCAGATTGCCGCTGGGTGCTGTGCTCCGGATACCCTAGCAGGAAGGATGATTTACTAATAAAATTAAAATCCAGGGCAAAACTATCATAATATTATCCTATTATTTTTACTTTTAAAGAATATAAGATAGGTCGTTGGCAGCCCTATATAGATAAACCTATGGTGATATGTTGAATACACCAGCCCTTACAACACAGTTGAATAGCTGTCCACACTATTACCTGGTGTCCTGCTTTATTTTTTAAAGCAGGAATTCATGTGCAGTTTTCCTCATATGCCTAGCAGGCTAAGTCAGTGCAGGCTTGAGATGGTTAGCTCTAAGAGACATACCAAGGTATATACAAGGTTACAGGGAGTTCAGTGCCAGCTTCACAGGTCACTGGATGTGTAGGAGGTTGTCCAGGACACAAGGTCTGAGATCCACATCCATTTGGTGAAACTGAAACACATCCAGGAAATCCACCACCATTAATTGGTTGAATGACATAGTTAAATGTGCCTTGATCACCAGAGACATAGCTCACTTCTACCTGTTCATTAAATTTCACATCCTCAGAAAATGCGCCTGGAACTGAGCCAGGTTGCCCAGGCGGAATAGTGAAGTGATCTCCCAGTGGTTCTGCATCCACTTGGATGTTAAATGGTGTAGAATTTTCAATCTTAACAGTACCAGCATCAGCAGGATAGATTGGATGAGAGAGATATTGCCGCCAGTAGTAGGCTGGATTTCCCAGGGCAGGGGCGACAAGAGCCGCACTTGAGAGCACTGAATATTTCATGTCGTCGATCCGCCTGAGTGAATATCAAAGATCAATGCAGATCAATATTAATGGGGCGAGGATGCTCCTGAAGATTTAGCTATTACAGTATCTTGGTGAAAGCTCCTTAATTTATACCTCTGCATCTATGTGCAGAGATTCTAATGAGTGATTAATCATGACCTCAATGGAGAACTTCATGATGTAATGTGTCATGTTTTTTATCTATTAGTAACTTCCATATCCAGAATAGCTGTCAGTACTTGTATAGAATTGTGAACCATAGAGTGATTTAGGAAAGTTAGTTTTATTAATAAAAACACCACCTCGTTCTAGAGGATTGTCAAGAATAATACTGTGGTTCCACCAGAAGCTAAAAGAAATAGAAAATAGTTTGTCTCAGAGGTCAAGCTTGCTCAGTTCAATGGTTAATTACACCTGATCTCATATAAACTTTGGATGCATTCCCCTAGAATGCTCAGAAGAAGAGGCGACATACTGCAAACAGCTGTCGAGCGTCTAAACGAAGTGTCATAGACAACTGACTCGGCGCCATGTATTGTGTAGAGATCCCCGCCTGTCATATGATACAGGGAAAACCATGGTACAAGTCCACGACCACACCAGCCAATCTCTGATATTATTTTTCTCTCCACTGACAGCAGGGCTCCCAACATCCTAAAACTACATCCCTTTTACTTTCAGCCATTTTTTGTTGATTTATATTACAGTTGAAAAATCAGGACCTCGTTGACGAGGATAGACACATGACAATCATCAGCCCGTAACATAGAGTGTCGAAACTTATCTTTCTCACCTAAACCACAGTCACATAGGATCAAAGCTTTAAGATACTCTAAAGCAGTATTTTACATCCTGAAGTCGATTTATAATAGTATTTAAAAGCCCTGTAATAAAGTAATCATGTCACCATTCCTATCTAGTAGGGTGTTAGTAACCCTCGAATATTTTTTTTATTAGGTCATTCTCCCATCATCTACCAGAGCTAAGCCGGCCATTATATCTTCTAAGCTATATAGTTAAATCCATTATATCTCTCACATATCTCTCCTGAAGAAGTAGTGTCTACACTGCTTGTAATAATATCAACAAGCCTAATAAACTACAGCCTCTTAATATTGGCGGTGAATAGAATGGGAACGTGTCCAAGTATAATCTAACTAGTCATACTACTTAACGAACGCAGGATCCCAGCTTGTCTGTTGATGGGCGGTTTTTCTTAGTTACATGGCAGTCTTACCATTAGTAGACCAGGGATATCAATCTTGCTCATTTAATCGCGGGGAGTTTTAGACGAGGTACAACGGCAACTGAGAAACAAACGTTTTGCCAAGCAGCCCGAGGATGTCATGCTTCAACGAGCTTTTATTTTAAGGTAGTAATTCTTAACCAAGGTAATCCGTCTGATAGGAGTTCTAGCCTTCGGTTCTAACGCATGTATTACAATTATCCACATTACTGCTGACAAGGGGGGTACATCTCAAGACGGGGAGCGCAATCGGAAGTGACAACAGAAATCCATTGTGAAAAGAAGGCAAGGGGAAGAAGGAAAATAAAGGAAGGAAAGCAATTTGAATCCAGCCTAGTACAGGAGACAGGTATCATGAGATTGTACTTCAGTACCAGCTCTATTCTAGTCCATAAGGGGATGAGTATTTATAAAAGGATAGAATAAAGTAAAGCCAACGGTAGCTATAGATTAGTAGAGCAAGTTAAGATTTTTTCCTATTCCAGGAGCGGTGGTATAAACTAAGCTAGTTACTATAGGGTACAGTAGCAGTATACACATTGATTAGATAATAGTAATAAACGACTAGCCTTATTATACTAAATAGTTTTGGCCTAGTTACAGCACTCCTAATCCAGGGGCGGTGGTGTAAGAAGGGCTTGTTACAATAGGGTTAAGTGGAAGAGTTACCTGGAATTGGCTGCGAGCTTTTGCGACCGATCTTATTATATTATTTTTTCTTAATCTTATTATATTATATTAAATAATATCGGATTGCGCTGAAACTTTTTCTAGTAAATTAATAGATATTTAAATATACTTTAATTGCTTAATTTTCTATTTAATAATTGAGAAATTATTAAATTATTA